AAAAATACAAAACATATAAAATAGTGTTGGGCAATTCAGTCACAACAAATGAATCTTCGAGTATAATTGGAATTTTATTTATATTTAAAACTGCGATATCGGCTTTTTTTGTGTTTACAACTCAATGTCAAACTAATCATATGGATCAATTTGTTTAAATTTACGTGAAATGTGATAGATTTTCTTAAAGGTCAATATTCAAGGGAGGTTTAAGCAGATGTTAGAAATTATAGGGGAGATTTAGGTAATAAAGAGGGTGTTTGGCACTGATGTATCATATGTGTTCCTTTCTACCAAGAATCAAGAACACCATCTCCTTTATTTTTCCTCAAAGAGACATAAAAAACCAATTTGCTGGAAATGAATGCCATTTGGGTGTTTAAAGCTATCAGTTTTTCAAATTTCAGTGTATCACATCACTTTTTTTTTGTTTGTGTGTGTGTGTTCAAATCAAATTTGCTACCATAGTATGGTAGCTCTGCATTGAAACAATAAAATCAAAGCCTTTGATTTATTGATGTGGCCCTACCTTGAATTAAATGAGCTGACATATTGGTAAGGTGCAACAATAAATCAAAGACCTTGACTTCTTGCTTTAGTACTGTAGTGATTCAAGATCATCAAGATTAGCAAGTCAATAAATACATCATTTTTGGGATGACAACTTTCTCCATAGATCTAGCCCTTGTTCCACCTCACCCCTAATTGAGTAATTTGACAGGTTTTCCCCAATCCTAAATGAGGATGGAATTTACATATAATTCCCCAAATTCAATGGTAAATTATTAAAGTATGTGTAAGTTTAATTTAATTTCTAAAACATTCCTAAATTTCTCCCAAATCTCTAGAACCTTTATGATCATCCCATAATCCAATTTTTAAAATACCTCCAGATTCTTATTATCCAGATTTTGAAATACCCCAAATCCTCATAATCACATTTTTAAAATACCCTCATATATAATGTATTTTTAGGTGGTGGACTTGTGGGAGAAAATTCAGGAATTGGGTATTGCCCCGAACCCGCTCTACCACCTAGGACTGGGCGAGAATGGAGAGGGGCATCTTAGGAGACCAAACCAACCCCCCACAACGTCCCACAGCACATCCCCGTCGTGTATTGGGAACATCTCCCGATGATAATCCCATAAATGATGATGTCATCATCGAGAGATATTCCCAATACACGACAGGGATATGCTGTGGGACATTGTGATATGGGGGGCTGATTTGAACTCGTATCTTAACCTGAATCCGTCTGATTGCCATTCCTACATCACTCTAATGATTCAAGAAACCCCCATGCCAATGGAGAGAATTGGATGATAACAGATGATGGGGGTTTCGTAGAACCCAACATGCACCATGGCCCATGGGATGGGGGATGGGGGATGGGGGATGGGCTACCCCATTGTGTAGCCCATGAAGCAAAAGAAAAAAATAAATCCCTTGCCTTGTTTTGGTGATCATATGACATCAACTTATAATATCCCACCTCCCTAGTGATTAAATAACGCTTTTTTGGTAAGCCGGTGAAATGTGCCAAAACAGTGAAAAATATCCCGTAATAAAAGTCTAGTGCAAATGAACGATTGGACTCTTGGTCCAACCATTTTGACTCAAAACAAATCGCCCATTCACCCCTACTCGGCCGCTACCTCTCTCTCGCGACTCACTCAGACGGACCATTCGCTTGTATAAATAGAGCCCTTCAACTGTCAAAAGACACCCAACGACTCTAGAATCTAGAGAGTCCGGATTTCCTACTAACTTCCCTCTATTCCCCTCTCTACTAACCTATTAAATTTATTCCAGCTGTCACTAAGTCCTATCTAGTGTAACGATTGACTAATGCCTTAATTAATCTCTCCGTTAGATACTGTTTTAAAGAAATACCTATTTTATGCATTAACTAATATTTTTAAAAATAAAAATATAATAATTGTGGGTGATCTATAACTCTTTTTCCGATGCATCAATTTGCTTTACTAGGCTTAGAGAATTTTGCATATAATTAAAGAGAGAATGGGAAATTTGTATATAATTAAAATATATACTTTTATTTCTTTTATAAGCCTAGTAAAGCAAATTCATCCATGAAAAAAGAGTTATAGATAGGGGTGAGAAAAAAAACCATGGTTTTTAAAATCAACCCGATGACCGAACCGGATAGGGGTCTTATTACCAGGTTGAATGACCGTTCAAACAACAGTTCGACCCGAACGATTGGCCCGCTCTCACAAAAAATAATTTAAAAACAGTCAAAACCGTTCAAACGGTTAATTGGCTGGTTCAGCGGTTTGCTGAGCAAAATCAACAGTTTTGGAGAAAAACAGAACGATCAGGTCAGGTCAGGTGACCAATTCCCGGATTTTCCCAGTCCAGCTGTCCAGTCTAGTCCGGTTTTGAAAACCATGAAAAAAACTGAAAAACCGAACTGACAGAAAAAACCGACCAAAATCGAACCAACAAACCGGTTAACCGAACTGATTAGTTCAGTGTTTTTAAAAAATCAAAGGTATCAGTTTGGTTTCGGTTAACCAATTTAAAAAACTGGTGGTTAACCAAACCGACCGGTATACATGGTTTTCTATATATTTTCTATACATTTATGTATATTATATATTTTATATATTATAAATTAATAAATATGCATTATATATAAATATATATTTGTAATATATTATATATTATTTATTATTTAAAATATAATATTTTATATATATTTATAATTTTTTTGTTATATATATATTTATTTATTTATAATAAATATTAAAAAGTAAAAAAAACTGAAAAACCGATGAGCCGAATCGTTGGTTAACCAAACCAGTTAACCGACTAGTATTGGTTTGGTTCTAGTTACCGATTTTCCATAAACCAGTACTACCGATTTGGTTTATAAAAAAGGCCCACGGTTCGATTACCTGAACCGTGAGCACCCCTAGTTACATACCACCCAAAATGATTATACTTTTATTTTTATAAATATTTAATTAATGCATAAAAATAAGTATTTATTTAAAATAGTATCTAATGGAGGAATTAATTAAGGCATTAGTCAATTGTTACACTAGATAAGGCTTAGTGACAGTTGGAATAATTTTAGGGGTTTTTACCATTCAGTCCACCCCTAGGTGGAGGGGGTGGACTGAATCCAACTCATGGATTGATGTCAAATTCACGGGTAGGATGTGGTTTATTGGGGGGCTATTAAGAGACTAGGAGGGGGTTGAAAATTTAATTTCTAACATGGGTTGTAGTCATTTTTTCCCATAATTTTAAGGGCAAATTTCTTAAACTACCCTTATCGTTTAGTTAATTGACTAATTTTACCTTTACTATTTAGATATTGTCTTACAGTACCCCTAAGTATTCTGATAATTGACCAAGTCCTCCCTACCATTGAGGTCCGTTAATGGAAAGAAGAAAAAGACTATTTTACCCATTATTATCTTTCAAACTTTCAAGCCTCTGTTTAATGTAGTTTTACAACATCAATTGACGGAATCTTCGCTGCAACTGCTGTTGGTTACATTCATCAAAGCAGAAAATGGAATTGCGTCCCTGAGTCTGAATGGAACCGCTGCCATTAAACAGACTCTATTATGGACTAGGGGGACAACTTGTACTGTGGCAACTCAATATCCTTCTATGAGAGAGTTAATTCCCAAGGCCATATACCACCTCAGGGTTTATCAGGTAGGAAGTCATCTTCACAAGCAATTTTATACCACATAAATAAAACTGTAGTGAGATGGGTGGCCTTTGTTACCCTCTGTAGGCTCTGTTTTTCTTCTTATTTACAGTTACCTGTAATGTATTGGAGAGATGCGGAGAGTTTGAAGGAGTTGAAGAGGGCTATTGATTTTGGGTCAATGACGCTGAAATCTTTGCCTCAAGGAGCTAGGAACAAGTTTCCTCCACTAAGATCGCTGTCAGAAATCCCTCGTTGCCTCCTTGTCCTCTTCCTCCTTTGCTGCCCTGTCAATCAATATTGTCTCTAATTTGTTTATATAACTTCTGAATCATCAGTTGCAATGCTGATTGGGAGGTATACAGAATCATCAACTGTAGATGCAGATCACACTGTCTGATTCTGATCATTGGACGAGGCTGACAAAAGGTGGTGTCATAGCTGATGTATGGAGCTATTGTGATTGTAAGCTCCAAGCCCGTGTACAAAGGATGGTTGACGTGTTTATTTATGATTGGGAGGTACAACTCGTATTACACTTATACATGGGAGGGTCAGTAGTGAATGGTTCCCAGGAATGAAAAGCCTCAACAGCAGAAAAGGAGTTCAGCCAATCTGCAAATGTATAGTCTTTGGAGGATGTTTTGATAAAGGACTTGTGGATGTGAGGAATCACACCTCCACCAGCTATAATTCCTTTGATCAGTATATCAAGTTCTTCACCCCCTCAAATTGCAAGCTGCAGTTGCCTTGGTGTAATACGTTTAACCTTCAGATCCTTGCTGGCATTGCCTGCTAGTTCTAGTTCCAAGACTTCTCCAGTAAGATACTACAAGATTGTTGCCCCTCCTCTTCCATTAGTTGCAATCCGGCCTGGACTTCAGGAGACGATGCTACAGTCAACAGGGAACTATAAGCCTGCTCTAGAAGAGTGAAAGACATGTTTCTTCTTATCCATTTTGGCGTTCAGAGCCGAGGATGTAATCGGACCTTTTACCTTTTTTTAACATCTTTCCCACAAAAAAAATTATATTTTTCAACGATTTAAGAACGGAAAACAAACTTAGAAGCAGTTGGAGAGATGAGATGGATAGAAATAGAGGGAGAGATGAAGAGTATCATTAACTTCGGGTAGGGAGACTTTCTCCCAAATATCACTATAAAAACTATAAAAAGGCCAAAAGGGTATAATCATAATATTTGAAAAAAGTATCGATTAGTAAGTATAAACAGTAAGGTAGAGTTAGTCAATTAACCAAATCATAAGGTAATTTAAGAAATTTATCCTAATTTTAATGGGTTAGTAGACGGAAGTCATTAGGAAATAAGGACCGGAATCTAGATCCCCCTTCGTTTTCGTTCCTTAAGATCGAAGCAAAACCATTTCCCCCTTTGGTTATCAGTTACCACATCCGCACTTGCTGCAAGTCTAACGGAAAATATCTTCAATGGCCGGGAGAGGATTTGGTTTTTCAGCGAATGCCCCCACAACCATGATCGTCACGAACACACCAGCTTCGGATCTAGCTCTCACCAATTTCGCTTATTGCTCGGCTTCGGATCTTCGAAAGTTCGCTGTTCCTGGGTTGAACCTCTTTCTGGCATTGGTGGCCGATTCATTCGTCCTATCTCTTCGATATCCTTTTTTCTTTTCATTTTTGTTGATTCTTATGCTTCATACTTGCTTTGATCACTAATTTGTGTTTCTTTGGGCGATAAATTGCTTTTTATTATCCTTTTGTTGGTTGAGTTGATGATCGGTTAATTGTTGAACTTTTAGCTTCATTTCCACCTTCAAGGTTATACATTTAAATCAGTGAAGTAAGTTTGTGGTAAACTAGCAATTAGAGTGAAGTAAAACATTGAAAGCAAGTAAAGTGATCGTTATTATTAGTAGTAATAGCAGAGATGTTCAATGCCTGTACGTTCTTTTGGAGGGAGGCTGGATTGGTGTTGTCTGTTGGCTGAATCAGTCCTATTTTTTTACCTATATGATCTTTTTCTTTTCCGATTATAGGTTTATGTTCACTGCTTTTGATCCCTCATTGAATTTATTACCAGTATGAATGCCTTCTTTTACATATGGGAATTATGCATTTGATAGTGGGAATGCTTTGCCTATGTGTTTCTCCAGTAAGTGGTGGTAGTGTTTTTTCTTCAAACACTATCCTCTGAAGGGCCTCAGATCTCCCTTTGCTCATGAGAGATCCGTCCGTTTGATGGCTATAATCATAATTCACTAGACCGAACTTTTATACATCAAAGTCACTCTTCTAATTTTCAATTACAATGACTCTATTTATATACTCAACACAAGTGCTCAGATCTCCCTTTGCTTTTTTTTTGTTTTTTTGATTGTAAAAAATTTATAAAAGAACATAGAAGAGAAATAATTGACTAACTACAATTCCAAGTCGGAAGTTGACCACTAATTGCATTAAAACTAAGATAATCCATAAGACACTCAAATATGGATTCCAACCCCTAAAATAACATAGACAAATTTTGGATCCCGAACATTAGAATGGAAGAAAAGTGATATCATTGTGTCCACAAAGACATGATAAGTAACTGAAGTGAGTGACATCTCCCCCTACTTTAAAGCATCACCTGCATCTTCAGCTCATACGCCCTAGCACCATTGAGAGGCTGTGAATAAGTCTCAGATGCAGTACTCCACACATATTTTTCAGTCCTTTTAAACATAAAATTTCTGCTAGTGGTTGCATTGAGTTGAGCAACCAAGACATCAGCATGTGATTTTCTTGAGTCCATTTGGTATGATTGGGGTCTTTGGAACCAGGCTCCTTCTCACTCCTTGTGATGTAACCTAATTTCCCATGTCCCTGATCCTAATCTACACTGGTTGTGCCCATTCTAGATAGTTGAAAACATCTAACCTCACTGTAATGATCATTCCAGCAGTTTGGGGGGTCTCCACCTCCTCCCTTCAGGGTTCCAACCTCTGTAATCTGCTTCTGTTCACTTCCACTGGTCTTCATTCCTTGCAAACTATTTCAAACAATAACAGAAAGCCACATTTGATGTGAAACAGAGATTCCAACCACAAATCCTAACTACAACCCAAGATGGATCAACCTGGGAGCATTGTGAGAAGAGAGAAATGGCAACCACTTACTACTTCTGTCAGGGAGGCCTTACCTTCAAAAACCCTGCTTTGTCTCTGTCCATAGCCAGTAAAGTGCAAATGGTACTAACAACCACAAATGGACCCCCCTCTTACTAAAACCTTTTCCAGACTATGAAGTGAATAGACTATAATCATTCCTCTCCATAGCTCATTACTTCCGAAAGAACTATATAAATTAAATAGGAAAAATTAAGTGGTTGTAATGGGTATGTTTCTCTTTGTCTCCCTTCTGGTCTTTAGCCATCTTCTCTTCTTTATATGTCAATTGTTTGCCATTTTAACTTTTGTCTTTATTTTTACTATATGTTTTGATTAGATTGAGAATACTCTTTTGTAGTTATATGCATTTTTCTTTTTCCTTTTGAATTATAGTGACTTAGTAAGCGAATCATATCAAAGTAGTTCTTTTAGGAAAACATTTTTAAAAAATTATGATGATTTTAATGAAATGTTGAAAAGTTTTTAATAATATTCTAAAATTTGAAACTTTAAATTTCGTATCACCATCTAGCAAATGGGGATATATTGTCGATATTGCAAACCATAATGGTGATTTTCTTTTTTATCTTCCCTTCCTTGGGTTGCAAGCCTGGATAGATTTTCATTTTTTTCTATTTAATACTTTCTCTCATTTTCTATCAAGGAAAAAACCACCAAGGCTGACATAATCTTCAGTGGCATAGAAAAGAGTTTTTTAACTACATGCACTTTCACCATTAATGCAACAGTTGCTAATAAAAGGCTATGTGAATATTTTGAAATTAGACTATGTTACTGTATTTTACTCATAGATTATTGATATTTATATGTATTGAGTTGCAAGTCTCATATCCCAGGGTCCCATGCCTCACCTCATGTCTTTGATGATAAATGGAAAAAAAATTCTCTCATACAGTCATACTATAAAAAACAAAATCCCCTCTCTTGCCATTCAATGGTGTATATATATTTGTTACTGCAAGTATCTGGTGCGGCAGGAAATTTTGTGTAATAAAGAAGTTTTAAGAAATTTAATGATGGTTGGTGGTTGTTTTTTTGGGAGGGGGGCCTTAACCAATACTCACTGCTCACGAAAGTATACGTGATGGTTATATTGCTCTGAATGCCATTCAACGTCGGCATGCAAGAGTTTCTACTGGAGACACAATATCTGCAAGCAGGTTAGATGATTGATTCCTAACTTTTCCATTTAGACGTATTTTGTGTGTTTCTTGACCTTCTTTTTAATTGTTCACTGGTGCCACTGTACCTAGATTTGTTCCACCTGACAATTTCAACTTGGCATTGCTCACACTGGAGCTGGAGTTTGTCAAAAAAGGGACTAAAAGTGAACAGGTAAGCCTTACCTTAGACCTCTCTGGTGCAATATGATATAGTTCCACAGGATGTGTCTCAAATGAGTTGTCCACTTAGTTTATTCTGGATAGACATGCCCACTTGTCCACAATCATTTTTTAGTCTACTTGTGCTTTATGGAGGTTAGTAGGACTTAGATGTATATAATCCATTGCAGATCGATGCTATTCTTCTGTCTCAGCAACTGCGGAAGAGATTTATTGATCAGGTACGAGTCACTTTTTCCTTGTGTGTGTGCGTGTCTATAACGCTCTCTCTCTCTCTCTCTATATATATATATATATATATATGTATATATATATATGTATATATATATATATACATATATATCTGTGACTAATTAGTTTTCTATTAATTTTATAAATGGAGTATTATTGCAATTTGGAATTGTGCCAAGTACCCCTTCATATTTAGGTTAGTTCCTGCTGCCTAACTCTCCCTTTCCACTATTGCTTGCAAGTTACAAAATTGTTTTCCTAGGAAAGTATCCCCCAATATAATTGGATTCTGTTAGTTTCTTGCTTGGCCATAGCATTAGCTAAACTGTAAAGCTCAGTTTAAGTCAGAGTAATATATACTTCAATTGAGTCTTCTCATGAAAAATACCCCGTCTGCAGGTTATGACGGCAGGACAAAGAGTATCTTTTGAATATCATGGTAACAACTATATATTTACAGTCACACAGGCAGCTGTAGAGGGGCAAGAAAAATCCAAGACCCTTGAGCAGGGAATGATATCAAATGATACATACTTTGTGTTTGAAGCATCAAATGCCAGTGGGATAAAGGTTAGCTTATATTTATTTTTCCTCATATGCTTCTCTACTTCATTTTATTGATTTACTGTGATAGTTAAAATAATCTCTGAATCATGTAAAATTACGGGGTCTTCATTTTCAAATGGAATCAGGCAAATAGCTAAATCTCTTCTTTTCTTTTGTTATATACTGTCTATCAATTATTATAATCTTGGACACTGACAAGTTATACTGACTCATTGTACTTGAGCTGTACAGATTGTCAACCAACGTGCAGCAGCCAGCAGCAACATATTTAAGCACAAGGAGTTTAATTTTCAGTCACTGGGTATTGGTGGTCTAGATAAAGAATTTGAAAATATTTTTCGAAGAGCATTTGCTTCTCGAGTTTACCCCCCTCATGTAACAAATAAGTAATTACGCTCTTTTTTAAGCCCCATGCATTTCTTCTTTGATATATTTTTTCTACTTGTGATCCTAAATAGAAAGGCTTTTGATAATCCAGATTGGGCATCAAGCATGTCAAGGGAATGCTGCTTTATGGTCCTCCTGGTACTGGGAAGACTCTTATGGCTCGCCAGATTGGCAAGATGTTAAATGGGAAGGAACCAAAGGTATTAAATAAGCTGTACCCAGAAAATGATATGAATAAGTTTCTTGATCTTGTTACTACTTCGATGTCTGCTTGCTTTCCTATTTGTTAATGTATAATAAGTTTGGAGTCAAGTGTCAATGCTGCTATCTTGTTTGATTTTTTATACCAGTAGATGGAATTTGTTATATATGCCAGATAAAGAAAGGCAATCAATTATGTTTTATGTCAAGTGGTGAAGAATTTGAGGCTTGTTTATACATTTTTGCATTCAAGGCCTTAGCATTTCTGCTTTTGGGTATCAGTAGGGAGTAGAATATATATTTAACTTTTTGATAGTAAAAGGAAAATATATTTTTTTGATCATTAGTAAAAAGAAGATCTTTTAAAAATAAAAATTTAGAAGTACACAAGAATTCCAGCCCAAGCAAAAATGGAAAAAAGAAGACAAAACTATGTATTGCCACCAATTGGAGCAAGCGTCGACAGAAAGAATGAGCCACCCCCTGCCAAATGAGGTTCTGATTTTGCACAATAATACTTTTCAAACTTAGGTAAAAAATGATGCATGCTGCCTCTGGTTTCATGGTCACTTTAAGTTCAATCATGGAGAAAAGAAAATGGGAAAGAAAAAAAGGAGGTCCTGATTTAAATGTTATTTATAGGTTTTGTGGGGTTGGATCATCATTATCCTACTCCTACTTGTACCTATTCTTGGTGGAGGAAGTGGCCTACTTGTGGTTATGTTTTTTATTATCCTATAAATGCCTTCCTCAGTTTTTGACATTTCCTTTTTCATTGCCTTGGTGCCAGTCTTTAGATTATTGCTTATTTTCATACTCTTATCTAGCTGTAACATTTTCCTTTTTAACTTTTAGATTGTTAATGGACCTGAAGTATTGAGCAAGTTTGTTGGAGAAACTGAAAAGAATGTCAGGGATCTATTTGCTGATGCTGAGAATGACCAAAGGGCCCGTGGTCAGTAAAATGTTAATATTCCAAATTTGTTTAGTGCTTACTTTTCCATTATATAATTTTTTTTTTGTTTATTGTTTTCAGGGGATGAGAGTGACTTGCATGTTATTATCTTTGATGAAATTGATGCTATTTGTAAGGTGGGTGGTTGCATAATTCCAATCTGATGTTCATTGCTTCTTGCTGTAATTTGACAAAGATGATGGTGCAGTAGATATGATCTATGATACCCTGGGTACCTGTATAAGGGTGCCATATTTTGTTGGATACTTAAAGGTTTTAGTATAAAATTTGTATCTGACCTTGTTCAGTCCAGCTAGAACTTGCTATTTATTTTAGGGAGAATGACTGTTCAGCCCAGGGTCAGAATTCATAGGCCCAAAGTACAGTTGGGATAGGTGCCAGCTCGGAATTGATGCCAATTCACGGGCGGGTATGGGTGCATTGAGTGTGGGTTTTTTACCTTTTGAGTGTTTATAGATTTGCTGAGGAATTCAGAAATCTGCATTAGGCCTGCCCGTACTTTTCCATTTATTTTACTTATGCACTATTCATTTTGTTAAGTGCATGCTGCTTTCCACTCCATCAATATGATCTAGGCATTATTGGCTTGTAGCCTTCATTATAATCTTTCTACTCGCAGCCTCACAGGAAAATCAATACTCATGAGATGTTCTAGAGGAAAAGTTGGACATGATTTTTTTGAACCTCATACTTGTAATTTGTGCTTAGCATGACACTATGAACTTTCTTTTTACCTGTGTAGTCATCTCTCTATAATCTGGAACCACTTTGCTATTATGTCAAGTAGTTGATTTGATAGTTTTTGGGATGCATGGGGCTTAGAATTTGGTAGTGCTTTGTGCTAGAGAGAAGGCTGTTGGTGGTGTGTGTGTGTGTGGGGGGGGKGGGAGATCCACACTACTAAGATAGTATGTATATTGTGGGAGCTTTCAGGGAGAAAGAATGCTAAATTCTTCAAGAATGACCAGTCATTCATCAGGTACAGATGCTGGAGTACTTGGGGGGACTATGGTATATTCAATCTTGAGAAAGCCATATTTATTTGATCTACAGAGACATAATGTGATGGTATATGCACCCCTGGGAGATCCACACTACTAAGATAGTATGTATATTGTGGGAGCTTTCAGGGAGAAAGAATGCTAAATTCTTCAAGAATGACCAGTCATTCATCAGGTACAGATGCTGGAGTACTTGGGGGGACTATGGTATATTCAATCTTGAGAAAGCCATATTTATTTGATCTACAGAGACATAATGTGATGGTATATGCACCCCTTTGTGAACATTATCAAACTAAGCTGATTATTTCCTAACAACCCAAGAACTTTGGTAATAGGATGGCATTCAGAAACAATAATGAGTGTGGTCATTCTAGAGTACTTGGGACTGGTTGGCTTTGGGATTCAGCAAAAAACGGCTTTTGTATCATGGACAAAGGGGCTGGAGTTATCAGCATCTACGGGCCATGAGAGGTTGAATATTGAGGGGGGTTGATAGGTTTTGATTGGTTAGAAGAGGGACAGGTAGGTTGAGAGGGCTATATATTAATGACTAGGCTATTGGAGTAGATATTTAAGGTGAATTCATTCCTTTGGGTTTCTCTACAAACTCCACAGCAGATATCCATGCAAGATAACTGTAAAATGAAGAAGATCAGCAAATAGGATGATATCAGCTATCCTATTTTCTGATTGACCTGGGTTCCCAAGAAAATTACCATCAAAGTATAGAATTCAGCCTTGTGCGGGTGCTGACAAAGGTACAGAAATTACATGTTTTCGAGGAGAAAAGCTAGGCACTGAGGTCCTCCCTCATAGGACTAAATTGATTTGGTACTCCTTTAGTCTCACCCTGGTCTTCTCCCAATATACAATCTGGATTGTACATATGTAAATGATGCTATTTGTGTCATTATAATTGTTCTACAAAATTCCTGTGTTTTATTTGCACCATATACTCCACAAGATTGCTGCTATCGCACAATGCCATAGTAATTTTCCTCTTTTGGTGGAAATGGGGCAGAATTGACTAGAAAATTAATCTACAACATCCAAAGAAGCCCAAGAAACTTTGAACAGATGAAGAAAATAGCTCCACACCTTAGTAGTGAAGTGGCACTTGAGAAAAAGATGAGCTGCACAAAGGAGAAAAGAACTACTTAGTTTTCCTTTCTTAAGCATGTCACCTGTGTTGATAATCTTCAAGGAGGATGCTGAAGAAAAGGCTTTTAACTTTTGGGGGAGCAAGGCCCATCTAAATTTCTCTCACTGGACACAAAGGTGAGAAAATAGGGGATACATCAAGGTCTTTTAAGAAGGAAAACCTGATAATAGACCAAGTGTGCCATGAGCCCATGTACTTGATAACTGTTAAATGGATATTAATGTCCTAGGGTAAAAAATGCTCCTTTTTCTGAATCTATTCATGTATAATTTCTTGTCATGAGATTTATGTGTATGGTTATTCATGGATGTTATTAGTGATCACTTGAAGTATCCAATGCTTTATGTGTATAGGGATTTGGAGTCTCCACCTACGAATGCATATTTTGTTCTTTCCAAATATCCATTTACCCCTTTAATTTGCTTATTCAGTTCTAATAGATGGTTCTGCTTTGAATTTGTAGTCAAGAGGATCAACAAGAGATGGTACTGGAGTTCATGATAGCATTGTGAACCAGCTTCTTACGAAGGTCAGTTTTATTTATTTATTTACTTTTCAACTGGTAGAATCATTTTGATGTTCTGATCATTTAACAATGCTCCTGTCAATATATGTTACCAATTCTAATAAAGTAATTGTTTCTCAGATTGATGGTGTGGAGTCTTTGAATAATGTTTTGCTTATTGGAATGACCAACAGAAGGGATTTGCTGGATGAAGCCCTCCTGAGGTCTCTCTCTCTCTCTCTCTCTCTCTCTCTCTCCCCCTACCCCCATGTGTGTGTGCATGTAAAGTTGTATCTTATGCTATATAGGATAAGAATTGAAGAATTGTATGATCAAACCAGCATCTTACATCCAAGGCTCTGCAGCCTCCAAAACCCCTTGCTATGTAGGATAATTTCGACAATTCTAGTTGATTTTAGAGGAACCAAATTTCTTGACTTATAAATAGTCAGTGAGTAACAAAGCTGGTGTCTAGTGATTAACATAGGTGTTTTTTGAGGTAGTTAAACCACAGGGTTTGAATACTGTATAGAGGGGGAGCTTTTGTGTTAACTGCTTCTATTAACAGGACCTTTTATTTTGGTGATAATGATGCTATTGTTTCTATGGTGGAAATACCTCAGAAAAATGAAAAATAAAAAAATATAGAGATTAATATCTCAGGAACAAACCATATGATGAAAACTCAAAAATTTGCAATGCATTAAGGTATCTGTCCTTTGGACTCGTTGAAGAATGAAGCCAATAGAAATTGTGCTTCAAGCCCTCATCATAATTCTTCCTGTTGTGTAGACCTATTCTGGAATCTCTTCTGTTTTCAAGTGAAAATAATTATAAAAAGGGTTCATCCTCCAAAATGTCCTTTTTGGACAGCCATTGTATCTCTAACATTGCCTCTCAATCACCATAAAGCATTCTTTGGAGTGACCTGAATACCTGATATTCCAAATCAAGTTATCAAGCAAGAAGCTGGCACTAGATCTCATCCATCACAAGTATGCTTGGCATGTGCATGTAACCAGGCATTGTAGATCACCCCTAAAAACACAAAGAACTTAATTGTAAAACAAAATTTCCACTGACTTGTATTGCTCAAAATGAATTATAGTTCATGGAAAAAATCAATCTTGTGATAAATTTGTTGAATCGCATAATGATACTTTACAATAAAGAATGTTTTAGTGACATTCTACTGGCAATTATGTAAAACATACATAATTTCTGGAGTTAATCAGTATTTAGGGCAGTTTTTTGGCTTGTGCTGCAATTTGTTTGGAGTAGGTATTTTTTTGATTGGTTGGTATTTTGATTCTTTTACATTGGAAGAAGTAAAATTTGGATATTCTACTTGCTGTTACTGAGCCGGTTAATCTAGTATGGTCTTCTTGGTGCATCAATGATCCTTAGAAAATCTGTCTTATAAATTTTTTTTTTGATTGCTTGGTTTGTAGACCAGGACGCTTAGAGGTTCAAGTTGAGATTAGCCTTCCTGATGAAAATGGTCGTTTGCAAATTCTTCAAATTCATACAAGCAAGATGAAGGAAAATTCTTTCCTTGCTCCAGATGTGAGCGTTCAAGAACTTGGTATGTGTATCAATAAACTCTCTTTGGAAAAGTTATTTTACGGTTTTATTTCTTATTTCTTATTTTTTTGCTCAATTTATGATTTTTTGACCAGTAGCAGAAAATTTTCATTAAAAGATATGAATCAAGTAGAAAGGTGGGGAGAAGTAAACTCTCTTAACTCTCCCCCATGAAGATACAACATACAAGATTACAACATAGCCCAAAGCAACTGATTTCTTCCCACCCCTTGTTTTGCAAGTGCATCTACAAAGGAATTGCACATATTTTTACCAACTGCAGTCTCACCTCCATGCCCTGAGTCAGCCTCTTGAAAATTCTTTGTTCATTGATGTAAGTTGACATGCTATCATCTTCCTTCCTTAGTCATCCTATTGCAACTTTAGAGTCTCCTTCAATAATCAGCCTGTTAACATTTAGTTCCTCAGCCCTTTTCACACCCTCCATCAAAGATAACATTTCTTCTCTCAATGAGTATCCAACACCAATTGGGCAAGAAAACATAGCTATGGCTGGACCTTCCTCCAATCTATAAACTCTATCAATCCCTGAAGGTCCAGGGTTACCCTAAAAAGAATTTGAACTTAGGTTGTTTAGTTGAAACATAACTCAGATTTTGATTTTATTTATTTTTTCATTATTTGAATGGTACTGTCTAGTGGCCATTACTTGGTGCAATGGTAAAATCTAAGGCAATGTGTAATAACAGGGGTTTGAATCTGAGAGTGGAAACTTTGTGCAAACAAATGCCAAAGGTTAGGACTGTATCCAGTCTATCCCTCCCAAGACCCCATATAGCTGGGACCAACACTAGGTACTCTGCAATGGCACCAATGCATGTTTTATTGAGTTTCCTGGTACAGACTTAACAGTTTTCACTTAATAAATGCCAACCATGTGTAAATTAAGTGGGTAAGTTTTATGTGCAGTAACTCTCTCTCTCTCTCTCTCTCTCTCTCCTGCATTGGTGACACAGTAATCTTATTGAAGGTCTTTTAAAAGGACTTGTGAGCTACAATAGAGTGCTAAGCACAAAAAAGAAGGCCTGAAATTGCATCTTGAAATTTAATTCTATTAGTTCAACGACTGAGAGAAGATTATATTTCTGGATGCAGCTGCGCGGACAAAGAACTACAGTGGTGCAGAACTTGAAGGTGTTGTAAAAAGTGCAGTATCATTTGCCTTGAATCGGCAGCTAAGCTTAGATGATCTTACAAAGCCCATAGATGAGGAGAACATAAAAGTTACCATGGATGATTTTCTTCATGCACTCCAGGAAATTATTCCTGCATTTGGAGCATCCACTGACGACCTTGAACGCTGCAGGTGAATTTCATCTATGACCTTTTTTATATCATAGAAATGCACATTCTTTTACAAATGGGAACATTTATATTCATCTTTTAAACTAGATGGGCTCACAAGATGTCAGATCAAGCAGGTCTGTACGATTTTCTGTTATATATTGGCCTTACACAATGTTTATCACTCTATCCATTAAATAGTTGAGCATCGTCTCTCTATCATCCCTTTAAGTTTTCTTTAGTTGTGGATGGTTGGATATATCCTGTGCTCAGTTTTTCAGGTTTTATTTGTTCACTAGCATCAAATCAATATAACCCAACAAAGCCTTGTCCTAACAATATGGGCTTATCTATGTGAATCCTGCCATTCCACTTTGTTCAGTGCTATTTCTATTGTTAAATTATAAGCCCTCTCTAACTACTTCAATGTATGTTCCTTTAGGCCTGTCTCTAGCTCTTCTAGGTCCTTCAATTTCCAATAGATAACTTCTTAATAGTGTTGTAGATGGTTTTCTATGCACAGGACTAAACCATCTTAGTCTATTCTTCATCATTTTATCACCTATCAAGGCTACTCCTAGGTTTGTACAAGCAGGTTTAAAATGTCAGTGTTGGTGGAAATATTGGTCATCCAAATACAGGAAACATGTTGGAAATATTGTAAAAATTATAGACATGGTGATTCATCAATATATATATATATATATATGCTGGAAAAGAAAAATGTGACAACATTTTATGAAATGATAAAAGAAGTATAGGTTCACTCATTAAATTATTATCTTGTTCCAAATCATCAAGAAAAGCTAAGAACTTAAGGTTAACAGAAAAAAGAATACATTACAAAGTTGTACTATAAACTTGAAGAGTCATAACTACATTCAAGCAAAAGTTAAACTCATAGAAAGTGTAAGTAATTCTAACATATCAACCAAATGATTTATTACACAAACAAAACTAAGATTTAACATATCTAAGAAGAATTTCAAGCTAGCTCAAAGTGGCAATTATGTCCATTAGGCAGGCATCTACAATATTTGTTGCCAACTTATGTTTTTTTTTTTTTTTTGAAAAAGGTAAGGTAAATTTATTGACTGAAATCAGAACCATACAAAGAATGTCAATTCTAGTAATATTTGTTGCCAACTTATGTTGTAATACCATTTGTGTACTCCACATAGCATTAGTAGTTTTCACTTGGGAATAATGTCAATTCTAGTAATATTTTTAGTTGTCAAGACATATAGGTGATTCTGGGTGACACTGGGGTGCCTAGTTGCCTAGGTGATAAGAATTTTATAATATAAAGAAGTAACTTTTTGTTAGTTTCCTAGTTTTGTATACCATTCAGCATGCATATTAATTGAAAAATAGAAATTCTCTTTATTAAAAACATTAAATTTCTTCTAAAAAATGTGGTAAATCATCATATCTAAAAGCTAAAAAATCTTTTAAATATATTGATTTCATTATTTAAAAAAAACACTACTATAATAGGAATTTTATAGAACTATTTCATATCAATTAGTAACTAAAGAAGGCTATTAACGTTATATAATAAAAATTCAAGATGGAAAGTAAAATAGTCAAAAAGGATGCAGTTGCTGTTTTATCTAATTGAAGAGGGGGGGGGGGATAGAAAAAAAAGCTTTTTTGATCTTTTGAATTTCAATAGTAAAACATTAAAACAAAGTATAAATGATATATAGTATATAATAGAATGTATTCACACGCATATTAATAAGATGCATCAATATAAATGATACTATAATAAGGTGTCCGCCTTGTCATTTTTGTTGCCTAGGCGGGTGGCTGCCATAAGTTGAGGCATTTGGGCAAGGTGACCAGCCAAGCTTGCCTCGGCAACGCCTTGACAACTATAATGTCAGTATCCATGGACCTCTTCAATTACCTTGGTTCTATAATTTATAGGATGGGCAAAATGGAAGGGTGCATCTGGATGGAGTCTTATAAGATATGTGAATACCACTTGGATAAAAAGAAAATTCTATGAAAAAGTTGTAAGGCCAACAATGCTGTATGGAGGAGAGTGTGAATGTTGGGCAGTCAAGAAACAGAAATGAAGTCGTTCGATGGAACCTAGGACTAGCTCCAATAGGCAATAAAATGAGAGAAAGCGGATGAAGATAGTTCAGCACGTGTATATAAGACCATCATTTTTTTTTGATCATCAGTATATAAGACCATCATCAACAGCACCTATAAAACTAAGTGATTTGTTACAAGTTGAAGATGCTAGAAGGGCTAGGGTCAGAACAAAAAGGGCATGGTTTGAAGCAAGGATCAAAATTTTGGCCCATATTGGCCAATGCGTATTTGTATCGGTGGGTCATCGATATGTGAAATACAAAGAGTTTCAGGGGGTAGCCAGGCCTTATACCGACCCCCCCCCCTGAACGTGTTTGAAAAAAAGAAAAAACTAAAAAAATAAAAGCACTCTCTTCAAAAGTTTGATATGCCCCATTCGATGTATTGGACTATATTGGTATTTTGGAACCCTTGTTTGAAGTTGTAAGAAATGATTTAAATGTTCACAATTTAACAATGGATATGGTACTTGTAGAGAAACTGATGTGGGCCCCACAGCTGTGGGGCCACTCTGTCCGTAGGGTAGAATATACCTAGTCTATCTGTTATGTTATTCTGTTATTTACTGTGGGGCCACTCTGTCCGTAGGGTAGAATATACCTAGTCTATCTGTTATGTTATTCTGTTATTCTAGTTCTGTTATTTACGTTTCAGTTTTTTATATTGTTAAGTGTTATGATGTAAACACCA